ATTAAAAGCTCTAATTTAGGTGCGTCAAAGCCTGAAAACCACAAAAATGTAATCAGATCAGATTAAAAGATATGTGCATAGCAATAAGTATTTTAAAGCAAACCTTGGTTATGCTGTATGCAGTACCTAACCTTTTCTTATCTCCACAGTAACAAAGGGGGGGGAAACCCCCCAACCCCTCCCCCATAGAAAGTTGTGCTTTGGTTTACATGAAAATATTTGCATAAAAAGTGCCAGCTTTCCATAAGCATCTTGATTTTGCTTTTTCATCAAAAATCAAGTTTCAGGAAATGGAAATTTATATAGATTTTGAAATGCTGCTGCTGTGCTTCCTGGGAGTCCTGGGATCCTGTTTTTTCCTGATGAAAAAATTTGCAAATTCTCTGATAAAAAACTTGCAAATTCTCGGATAAAAACCCTAAAATCTGTGATTAAAATGAAAGGCTCCTCACTCCCCCCACTCCCCGGCCCTGCTGGTGCCCCTCACTTCCCCTGCCCAGTCCCCTGGCCCTGCTTATGCCCCTTGCTCCTCCCCCACAGCTCACTGGCCCTGCTTGTACTCCTCATGCCCCCTACAGCCCTGCTGCTGCCCCTCGCCCCCCACCCCAGCTGGAGGGGGCCTCTAGCTGCCAGGGCTATGGGGCCTGTCCCCAGAAGGAAGCAGCGCTGCTGCAGTGGAGCAACACATAGAGTCTGGCTTCCCCCCCTGCTGCCTGCCTGCTGAGGGGGCAGGGGCGGGAGGTGGGGGAAGGCAGCTCCCTGCCACTCTGCACACTCCCAGGGGGCAGGGGGACCCATGCCCCCAGATCTGTGTGCAGGGCAGGGGCAGGCTCAGGCTGCAGGCTCAGGCTTTCCACCCTGCTGCCCTCCCCCGGGGCCTCCACAGCCTGGCGGGTGCGACCCAGCACTGCAGGGAACAGCAGAGCCACACAGGAATCTCCTTGCTGCTGTGAGCTCCATGCTGCTCTGGTGATGCATCCCCTGCCCACGTGGCAGCAGTGGGGGGCACAACCCTGCGCCACTGCCCCTGCTGCTGCCATGCACATAGGGAATGTCTCCAGGTCAGGGCGGAGCTCGCAATGGCAAGGAGATCCCCATGTGGCTCCACTATTCCCTGCAGTGCTGAGTCGCACCCGCCAGGCTGTGGAGGGCCTGGGGGAGGGCAGCAGGGTAAGAGCTCAAGCCTTCTCCATCCTGCGCACCAGCCTGGGGGGCATGGGTTCCCCCCTGCCCCCAAGAGTGCACAGAGCAGCAGGAAGCTAGCCCCTTCCCCCCCACTTTCCCCCAGATGAGCTGCCTGCAACCCTGCCCCACTCCCCACTGGGACCCTGTGCATTGCAGCCCCAGGCCCCAAGCCCTAGGCACTGTCTGGCAAGGCAGCAGACCCAGCCCTGCCCAGCTCCCTCCCTCTCTCCCTATGGGGGCTTCAATCGCCCCCCACCCCTGCTTACCTGCAGGCTGCCTGGAGGTCATGTGCATATCCATACACATGGAGCTCCCTGCCTGACCACCCTCCTCCTGCTCCTTCCCAGCCCCCTGCAGGCTAGAAGTCTGCCAGCCTGCAGAGGGCTCTTTGCAAAACTGCAAAATTCTCCAGTAAAATGAGAAATCTGTGTTTTCCTCCAGTAAAGGGGAAAATCCGTGGTTTTCTCCATTTTTCCGTAGGAGACAGAAAACCTGGATCCTTGGTGGTAACTGTGTTGCCTCATGCCCTTGTACTCCTCTCTGGGGTGGGCTCCCCAGCTGGACTACATTTCCATAAAGTGTCTGGGCTAGAGATACTAATGAAGCTTCCTCTTTTCAGAAACAGAGAAAATGTTGTGTCATGGGAGATGTTGTCTAACCTGGGACACAGGCTAAAATGAAGAATAGGAGCATGAGACAGCGGAACTACAGCTCCCAAGCAGTATTGTGATAATCTTTCCAAATTTAAATCTTTTGGTGTTTGAGTTTCTATCAACATTTTCCCCCAGAATTCCCCTTTTTCCATTGTCTCCAGTTCCCCCTTTTTCCAACAAGAGATCCAGATAATATCTGAAAAATTAAAAAAGGGAGCAGAAAGAAGGAAGAGAAGGGATATTTCATAGTTTCATAGTAGCTAGGGTCAGGAGGGACCTGAACAGATAATCTAGCCTGACCCCCTGCCACAGGCAGGAATGAATGCTGGGTTCACAAGACCCCAGACAGGTGATCATCCAACCTCCTCTTGAATTTGCCCAAGGTAGGGGCGAAGACCACTTCCCTGGGAAGTTGGTTCCAGATTTTGGCCACCCTAACTGTAAAATATTGCCTTCTGATCTCTAACCTAAACCTATTCTCCATCAGCTTAATACCATTGTTCCTCGTCACCCCAGGTGGTGCTGGGGAGAAAAGAAAACCTATTTGCTGTTGATCCCCCCGATGAACTTGTAGGCAGCCACCAGGTCCCCCCTCAACCTCCTCTTGCTGAGGCTGAACAGGTTCAGGTCCTTCAGTCTCTCCTCGTAGGGCCTGTCCTGCTGCCCTCTCACCAAGCGGGTGGCCCTCCTCTGAACCCTCTCCAGGCTGCCCACATCCCTTTTGAAGTGTGGCGCCCAGTACTGGACGCAGTACTCCAACTGCGGCCTGACCAAAGTCGCATAGAGGGGGAGTATCACCTCTCTGGACCGGCTTGAGATGCATCTTTGGATGCATGACAAGGTATGGCTGGCCTTGCTGGCTGCGATCTGGCATTTCAAACTTTCCCTTGTAGTGCTGCTTCCAAATTCCTCCATTCTGGGGTGAAGGATTTGCCTCTTCATTCCCATGCCCCAACTCCCTTCCAAAGTCACCTCACTAGCTAGTAATCCTTCTGGCTGCTGTACTGACTCACACTGTGATCTTCAGAAAAAAAACACTTCTAACACCTTCCAATAAAATGGAGAACTGCTGCGATAAGAGACTATTGAGCAGAACAGAGAAACATCAAAGAATAGAATCCCCTCCTTGATCAATAACAATGAGTGTTTTTGGATTTCGGTTCATAAAACGAACACACCTCTGGAAAATCCATGTTTCAGGTTTTATACAACAACTGAATGGCATTTGTAGCTATTGTGGCCCTTTGTTATCAGTGTGTTCATTTTTTAATCAGCACTTCAAAATATCTAGTTTAATTTGTTTTGAAAGAAGAATGACAAAGAAGACCTATTTTCTATGATTTGGGGTTTTTTAATGATTTATTTCAACTCCTCTTGCAACAATATTAATTGTGACTTCAAAAAGTAGGTACATTAGGCTTCACTTCTGTAGAGTGGAAAAGTATCCAAATCCTGATTCCACAAGATACTTAAATGCACATCATACAATGAGGTGTATACTTTGCTGAAGTAGGATCCTGGTGCTATAAGCGGACTAAATCCATGTTGCATTCACATCTTGAATAGAGAAAGGCAGCAGTGATGATTAGTGGTATGGAGGGGCTTCCATAGAGGAGTAACTAAAGAGGCAAGGCCTATTCCGCTTAGAAAAGAGACACTTGAGGAAGAACATTATATAAGGGTTTACAAAATAGTAAACGGTGAAGAGAAAGTAAAGAGGGATTTATTATTTATTGTCTCTCACAATACAAGAACAAGGGGTCACAAAATGAAACTTCAAATTTTAAAACTAGCAAAAGGAATTTCTTTTTCACACAGCACGTAATTAAAGTATGTAACTCATTGCCACAAGATGTTATGGAAGCTGACAGCTTTGCCAGATCCAAAAATGGGATTGGACAAATTATTGGAGGAAAGGTGCATCAGTAGCTATTGAGCATGGGAGTTAGGGATACAGCCTATGAATCAGAACTTACTAGACCTTAAGGGTGCAAATAGAAGTGAAAATTTTCACCAGATCAGGCCACAGAAAGTGGTCTATAGCCATGACTAAACACAAGTACACGACTGCTTCAAAAATGGCCAGTCAAGTGAAAATCTGAACCCTCATTGCATGAGGGGTCAGATGAAGATGTTTCCTCTCCTGTAACTTCTTTCTGTGCTGCCTCCCAGCCTGTCACTGTTTTCAGAATGGGAGGGGGGAAGGGAGAGGAAGAAGCTCAGTCTGGGTTTTTTTCAGTCCCTGCTGGAGGGAGGGATGGGTGTATTGGAGCCCCCTGAAGTAGCGGGGGGCTCCAATTCACCCACCCCACCCTCCAGTGCTATATGAGAAACCCCTAGAATGAGCTCCCTCAGCTCCCTTTCCCCGCTCCCATTCTGAAAACAGCACAGCCTCACAGGGAGGAGGGGGCACTGCTAGGGGAAACTGGCTGCGGCCTCTGAGCCAGCAGCTAGATTCCCCTCCCCCTGTAACCAACAGTGAACTTCTGTTTGGTCCGGGGGATTGTAGTAACTCAGAACGCATCCTGCAAAGCACTCTCAGTTACAGCAGGGAGCTGCACTCTGTCTGCGCCCTAAATTCTGGAAGCTGCACATGGGAGAGGAACAGCGGCAAAACCCTGGTAATGCCCAGTTCACTCTCCCTTTCAGCACTCACTGTCTCCCCATGTATGACATAGGATACTGGGCAAGATGGACCTGTGGTCTGACCCAGTAAATGGCAGTTCTTATATGCCCTAATTTAGTACTGCTCACTTCTGGCAAAACATAATGCAAGCCCAGAATAAATTAACTTTTGTTATAGATCATACTTAGTCAAAGTCTTGCCATTTCCAGAGGGAATTATTTTGTTCAGGTTCATGCAAGTAAGGGAAAGAAAATCCAGAAACCTCATAATCATTATTAGATCCATTAGTGGTTTGGCATGTGTCTCACACTATTTAATCTCAGAGGTTTTGCATTTCTGTCAGGTGTCATTTGATTTAACTTCCCTTTGATAACTATATCAACCTACTTACTTACTCTTTGCCCCTAGTAATGTAAAATAATAAGTACATCAAGCTGAGCCCTGAGATGGGTGAACAAATCTGTTTGCATAAACACCTTGTTGTGCTCACTTTCCAACATACATACACTTCCCTCATGTGTGTTTTGATACTCCAGTGTGTTTCTGCCATCCTGTTGGATCAGCTATACTTCCCTTCAGCACAAGTACCTTCTGTGACCCCAGCAATGGTGATTGCCCCTGCAAGCCTGGAGTGGCAGGTCCTCAGTGTGACCAGTGTATGGTGGGATACTGGGGCTTTGGAGAGTATGGTTGCAGGCCATGTGACTGTGCTGGAAGCTGTGACCCACTTACAGGTGACTGCATCAGCAGGTGAGTGGACATATTATTGCTCTAGACCAGTGATTCTTGATCCTTCTAAGAGTGCCAGAATGCCCAGATACCGTGGCAGAAAGTAAGCTATTGCTGCTCCTCTCTCATATGAGTGGGCACCCCTAGCGTCCCTCGGACAAGCAGGGCCCAGAGCTGATCCCCGTCCCCTGGCAGCTCCCATGCCAGCCCCCATGCTCCTAGCAGTGTGCAGTGCTGTGTGTGCGTGTGCAGAAGCAGTTGGGCAGCCACAGGGCTATGGGACTGCACTTTTCAGCCTAGCTTGTCTCCAGGTCCCCTTCCCCTCCTGCCATGCACCCAGGGCTGGTGGGAGGGACTGACTGTGCATGTGGCTCTGGTCACTGGCAGTCTGCTCCCCAGAGGAGCAGCACCTGCCCCCTCAGGTACAGACCAGGGGCTGGGAGGAGGTAGATGGTGGAATAATCAAGGCACAGTGAAGTTAGAGCCTTCCTCCTGCCTTCACTTAACACCAGCTAGATTCTAGCTCAGTGGTTCTCAGCCAAGGTACCCCTAAATTCCAAAAAACTATGAAGGGGGGTTCCTTGAGTCTAAAAACGTTGAGAACCACTGCTCTAGACACACATACAGTTACATCATGGACACACATCCCCCAGATTTTAAAAAGAGACCTTATTTGGGTTTAAACTACAGAAACTCTCATGATATACACTACAGCATATGAACAAAACCCTATTGCAAGTACTGGGCCAGAGCAGACTCCTCCCATGGAGTAATCTGTTGAGAGAGTCACAGACGACTGAAAGCTTGTTGTTTCCTGTGCCTCGTGGTGGGTATCATCATGGAAGACCCCACGTTTCTTAGAACTACATTGGCTATTTATAAAAAGAATAATTCACAGAATTGCTGCAACTGCTGCTAGCGATCCAGCCAGGAGCACAGGCTGATTTCCTTTTGCCTCCTCTGCACTGCTTGCTGCTATGCCTGTGCTCCTCCCTCCAAGCAGGATGCTATACCTATATTTATATGGAAGTGTTCCCTGTGTGGGCACACAACACCAGCTGTAACTCTCCTGCCATTAGCTAAGTTGTTCTACAACTGTTCCATAGTCATCACAGAGAGAACACAGGAGGTGTTGCTATAGCAGGGCAGGGGATGGGCGGTGTGGCAGCACACAGCCAATTATGTGTTTCACTGGTCCCCTTCCCCTGTCCTCCCTATCTGTCCTCCTGTAGAGCACAAAGCCCATTAAGGGCCATCAGAGTGATTTCTATTAAAGCAAGAAGTCCATTCAGCCTTGTGAGCATATGCAGAGGGGACATGTTGGCCTCACCATCGTCAGACTCACTGCATCATCAGCCTTTTACATGATAGAGAAACAGGATTGGTGGTTGTAATACATTTAAGTTATGAATAATGATATATCAGGAGAGTGGGCCATTTCTATTGTAGTAACACAGATCATGACATATCGTCTCCCCCTCCTGGCATCTAAGTATTTGGTTCTGGTACTTTTCTGGGTTTTTGTAGTGTTCTTCCATGTTACTCACTGTATTTTGAAGCAAGAGTGAGAGGCTCACTCCTGCTCCCATGAAGTCCATGACAAAACTTCCATAGACTTCAGAAGAAGCAAAGTCAATCTCTTAGATGCTGGAGAATAATGCATTTTAAATCAAGCTATCTAAGGAGGCCTAGTACTGTCTTTAGGCCAAGGTATATAAATACATAATTTTGTGGACCTTCTGTATTATACTCACTGAGTTCTAAAATATTACTTTATACCACCCATGGATTCATAATACAAATTTAGGAGTGTACAATGCCCAAATGTTTCACTTCATAAAACACACAAAAATAGTTTTATTATATCAATGCATCTGGAGAAACTTCTAGACCAATTTCTGGGAACTAGAGAGTTAACAGTAAGTGTGAGAATTCTCTTGACTTTGACCATTAACTCCATAAGAAATATTCATGGTTTTCTTTCATTAAAACAGTGCAGATATATACTGGCATCATGAGATACCCGATTTCCACGCAGTGTTTAATGAAAGTGAGCCAAGATGGGGATGGGAAGATGAACAAGGATTCTCAGCTCTTCGGCATTCAGGTGAGATAACTGATTCAAATATTTTTCTCATCCCCATGCCTGTTACTAAGAGATTGTTCCTAGGAACAAGGAAAGTTTTTTTTTAAGTGATTTGTGGAAAGGCAACAGAGCATTGCTTTGGATTAATGTCTTAGCAAAGGTGACAGTAAAGAATGTATTGTCCAACATCCAGTATTGTTCAGTTACCAAAAAAAAGGCCTAAGAAAACTTAAAAGAATTATTTGATTCATTAATAAAAGAATATCCAATGTCTAAACACTTTCATTTTAAAACATGGATCCAGGCTGTAGGGATTGGTAGCTGGAGCATCTGCCTAGGTTTTCAGGTTGAGCTCTGATTTTGGGGACTTCTGTTTTGAAATGCTGATGTTTGTTTTGTCTTGCTTTTGCTGTAATATTTTAAGGAGGTCCCTTATGTCACATATACATAGAACTGTCACATCCCATTGAGTAAACAGTTTTTTTAAATAAATTGATACTAAATTAATTTGAGATGCAATTAAAACATTTCTAAAACATCAGCATAACTTTCCCAGACAGCCTGGTTAAGGATGGCAGCAATAGTGGTTTATGATCTGGTTCCTGACTACTGAACGTTTCAGGTGCAGTTTCAACTCGGGAAATTATTTGTCTAGTAGCTAATAATATAATATTGCTGGTGTGTGAGATTATTATTAGGCCTAATCATGCAATTTTTCTGCTGGCAAGTGTTTACTCAGACAAGTAGTCCCTTTGACTACTATTCACCAATGTAATAATTCCACAGTTGGGGCCTCTCTGTATTATAGATGGATGACAGTACACATGCTGTTTTGAAATAGTTACATTTGATCAAGTAAGCATGCAAATGTCATTTTTTGCAATAGTTTGTTCTAAAAATCTTGGAAACAAGTTAGTGGGGTGGGAAGGGATGAAAACCTGCCTTCCACCCATTTATCTTAGGTTTTAAAAAAATAATGGGCATTTTGCTTTTCTTTATTTCAGTCACAAAAACAACTCATTTGCCTTGCAGAATAATTATCCGAAACTTCATGTTCCTGTACTAAGACCTTTTAAGTGTATCTTATGTGGAAAGCGCTGTGATTAATGTTGAGCCCAGGAGTACATCCTGTTGAAGTCTATGTGGAACTACTCACAGAAAATTAAGCTCCTGAGTAATTTGTTGATAGGTCAGGGGCTTAGCACAAAAACCCTGGCAGACCCCTAGTTCCACAGGACTTACTATGGAAAAGAGGGGTATACTACAGATATCATTTACTTCTTTGGGAAGTCCCTGGGCTCACCACCCTTGGCATCACTCCTATATCTTGAAGGAGATTGTGGATCTCTCTTCCTGAACATTTCTCCAGCACAGGAAATTCTTGGGTGGAGCAGAGTCTTAGGTGATTAAAGAGTTTATATTATTAAAAAGTAAAAATGGGAAAACTCCAACCAGGTCATAAATAAGCTTAAGATGTCATTGTGTTCTGAAAGATAAGCATGTGCTTCAGAGCACCAGAGTAAAATCTTGGCCTCATCAAAATCACTACCCACTCAGGAAGGCTATATGCCCCAGGACCAGTCGTCCATCTTTCTCTTTAAAGATTATCTCACAGTACGAAGCATTTGTTTGTTTTCTTTTCGTAGGTAAATGTGAATGTAAAGAACAAGTTTTAGGGAATCCCCAGGTCTTCTGTGGAATGAAGTATACATATGGTAAGTCGCAAGAGGAAGTTATTACTGTTGAGATGGGTTATTTTTAAAGGATTGTTTTATGAATCTGTATAAGGGTATGAGAAGAGCTGGACCAGTGTGCACCCCACAGAACTGGCATACACTGAAGAATGTCAGAAAGCTTACATAATGTACTGCAAGAAAAAACAGTCATGGGGTGGGAAATGGGGAGGGATTCTCAGGAAAGCTCAGCAAGCACATCAATTTGTAGATAACCAATTTATTTCAGTCCTGATCAAACCCGGGACAGTCTTAAAGAAGCGATTATGAAGATAATTACTGATTTATTTATGGATCTGGCACTCTGGCTTGCCTTTCTTGCAACCCTGAAAATCTATTTCAATGCAAAAATTGTATGAGTAATTTGATGCTTATCACCTCTATATTTGGGACTCTACAAAATTTTAAATCTCTTTCACTCTCTGTACAGTGTGTTAAGTATTAGTGTATGTATTAAGGTCAACCATAATAAAGCATCCTGTTCCCCTTCCTATCTCACTGATCAAGTGCTGATACTCAAGGGGAAAACCACTGTCTACAAGCAAACCACTCAGTCTGGGCTCTGGTGTATCATAGGAGGGAGTGCTAGTGACAGTCACAGACCCCTTTCTGCTTTCACAGAAAAGGCAGTTCTCCTAGCTTTTAAGGTCTGCCCCACATCCCTTCAAGAACAGCTCAAAGCTTTTGAAATGGGATAAGATTAGTACATTTGCATATTGAGATTTATAGGAGTAAAGAGAAAAGTTTGTCTGCAGTGATTCCTCCAGGCAGTACCAATGAACTGTCTCCTCACACCATACCAAGGAAGGAATGCTTTGTACAACACTCCCTTCATTTCATAAGCTTTCAACATTTCTTGCACCTGCTCTGTCTCGTGCTAGGGTTTAAAATACATTGAGAAATAATCCATACTATTGCCGACCGCAGTGTGACCCACGGGGAGAAGTTCAAGGGGCCGCATATCACTGAAATATGGCCCCGGCTTAGTGGTATTAGAAAAAAATATTTGAGCCTGCTTTGCTTTGCTTCCTGCCTGCGATAGTGACAGTGTTTAATCTTGCAAAAGATAAGAAATAAAAGTAAAAAACAACTTCATAAATCTTATCTAAAGTGCACTCAGGCCTCCCACCCTTTCATCACTTAGTGTTCAAGGGTGTCAGCTAAATTACAGAGAGATGAATTGTAGGGCACATCACAAGCTTGAAGAGGGAGTCTGCATCGGAGGAGAGTCTTCTCAGGCTTTTTAACACATATTCCAAACAAAGCAACCTCATAAGAAGCTGTTAAATACCACTGTAGGCAAATATCATTGCTGTCTCAGAGGTCACTTCTGCAGCCCCTCACCTAGCATGAAAGTGGTACTTAAAAGGTTTTGTACAGGAGGGTTGGTAGCTCAGCGGGCAGGATGAGGGCCATGTTCTTCTAGGGTTTCTCACTCTGCTTTATGCATATGTAACAATTTTGCAAAAATGGGGGCCTGACCTTGAGTTCTTCAGCCCCCCTGTAGAAACCTGATTGTCAGAGGTTCTGAGCAAGCAGCTGTTCCTACTGAGCTCAGTGGCAGTGACCAGGTCCCAGCAGCTGTTGGCTGCTACTCAGCATCTCACTTGAACAGTCCTTCTCAACCTTTTTGACTCTAGCCCTCCTCCATCACTTTTCTGAGCTTAGCAGCATCCCATTTTAAAAAGTAATGCATTTCTTTCTCCTCACACCCCAGGGCACCTTGGAAGCATATGTGGGGTGGGGGGGCCATGTCTGGGAGCACAGTGGGGGATGCCGCATGGTGCTCTGTGTTGGCAGGGACAGATTGGAGAGCTTGGCGATGGGTCATTCGACTCCCTGAAGGAAGCAGATACCCCTGCAGGAGGTAGAAGGGGGTGACAGTGGCTCCTGGAGGTGCAGAAGCTGGTGTCATTTAAGGGCAGCAGGAGCACAACTCTGCTGTGTCCTACTCTTTCCACTGTCTTCCCCCTCCCTGCTGCTGATCTGTATCTGAGGGGGCAAATGCAGCCCCCACCACAGTGGATGTTCCTCTGGCAACTTGCATGCCAGCAACAGGAGCCACCTGCCCCCTCAACCCCTCCCACAAGCTCTAGGAGCTTGGGAAGAGCAGGAAAGCAAGCCAGACTGAAAAGTACAGTTCCATGGCCCCATGTCCATCTTGCCCCGCCACAGAGCATGCTGTTTAGGGTGCTCTCTGCAGGGGCTGGTGTGGGGCAGAGGGCAGGAGCCAAATCCCCTAGAGAAGCAGCCAGGGGCACCATTTGTCTATTTGAGACTCACTGACCTTGACAGTGAGCATAGGCTGACCTGGTATCTGCCATAGTTGCTGTTCAAGTAAAGCTACTCCAGCTTTCTCTCCAGCAACAGAAAGCTTTGATGCGGTTCTGCATGTCACCCTTCTGACCATAAGACACACGGGCAAGAATGAAGTTTTGACATGTGCCATGCTAATTTTGCAAAGACCATACACACTGGTCTTTAACGCTGCTGCCCAGCACTGTGTTAGAAAGAGCTGAGCAAAAGGCATTTGATAGATTTCTGGTTTTTTTACGTATTTCCTCCCAGTGGTAAAAACAAAGATTTTATCAGCTCATGACAAGGGCTCCCATGCAGAAGTCAACGTGAAGATCAAGAAAGTGTTGAAATCAACAAAGCTTAAAATTCTCCGAGGAAAGCGGACTCTCTACCCAGAATCCTGGACTAACAGAGGCTGTACTTGTCCAATCCTTAATCCTGGTAGGTATTTGGTTTTGACTCCACGAATAGCACATCCCCATCATATTCATACTGATCTCTTCCTTGTTCTTTTATCCCATCCCCCCAGTGTATTTAATTTATAGTGCCTGCTGACTGACACACTGGATTTACTCCATCATTTAAATTCCGAAAGCAAATTGAGGGGAATTTTGATTTTTATATAGAAAAGCCTTAATCATGCCGTGTGCTGTGAAGAGTGAAATCACTGTTTGTAAAGTAAAACTACCATACCACAACCTGCTCTGACTCACCCTACCCTATCCCACACACTGCTCTGGTGGCTGAAAGCAGTTGCATGCCAGGCACCTCTGAGACAGAGCTCTTTTCAAGTCTAATTTTTCTACAGATCCATAACCCCACATTCAGGCTTTAGTTCTAAATCAGGTCATATTACTACTGTGCAGTTATGATCTACTCCCAAGGGAGCACATATTTAGAATTCCTCCTTCACAAATAATATTGAATTTATTTACATTTTAAAGTTATACATGTAGCTCTCTCTTCAGGGGGAGGTGGGATGCTTCAGCGTCATCAGCTTTACTCATCTTCTTTCAGTGAGCAGGCTTTTAGGTTTGAAATGAACCATTACCAATCCCCATAAAACAGTGCATGTTGCCTCTGTGATCATGTCAGGAACTGAGAAACACCAACAGAATTTTTCATAGAAACCAAGATCCATCTAAAAATCTCTCTTTTACAGTTCAAAGAAAAACTAGAAACAGATAACTAAGGAAATGTTTTTCAACTACAATGTTTGCATGTATTTCAGGAATTACTGTATCAAAATGCAGACCTTGGGCACTGTGATTTCCTTTACACACTTAAGCAATAGAAAAGACAGAGGGGGTAGTCATCTGTGAAGTTCCTTCCATAAAGCATTGAAAAGATAGCATGTTATTGTGAAGATTTTTGTAATCATTTTGTCATCTTTTTTGATACAGTCCACCGTTTGGCTTCCAGCATAATGTACCAAAAGGTAGAATAGATGTGGTTAGAAACTCTCCTTAACATATTTATCATGGTACAAGGGTCAGAAGAATCAGCATTCCTAGGCATGATTTTAAGTTGTAAGCTCTTAAGTCCTTGAATAATTGAAAAAATCCCATAAACTTATTTAATGAAACAGATACAATTGTTTAATGCTTCTATATGCAAAGCAAAAATAAACACAAAGGCCAGATTCTGATCAGAGTTGTAGTGGCATTAAAGTTGTAAAGAAAACAGTGGCATGGTCCAGGCCCACAGCTGGTGAAAAGTAGAGCTGCTCCTATTGATATTTCAATGGGGAATCGTAAGTTTTACCAGCAGAGGGTAAAATGAAACTCCATCACTTGATAAATTAAAATAGCTCATACTCAGACATTGAAGGAAACTAGAAGGTGCATCTTTTGAAGTAACTATTAATGGCCAAGTACTTGACACCCCCTTACAAAATTTGGCTCAACACCTTTTTGGGTATTCACCAGATTGCCATCACAGGACCCAGTCATTGGATCCCTGGCTGAATTAAGCCTCTGGAGTCTGAACAGCATAGACATCCTAGCCTATTTCATGGACGGGACTCCAGCTTCACTCCAAAAGCACAGGCCCTTCTGTCTAATACCCCCCTCCCCCCAAGATCAATTGCCTAGGCCCAGGGTATAGTTCTGACTTCCTCCATAGCTTAAACACTCTCTTTCCCAGAATCTCACCAAAAGGGTGAGCCTTCTGGTTTACAGTTGAACTCTTGAGAGGCGTTCAGATACAGAAAGGTTTTGCACAAAGTTCCCAATTGCACCTTTACTTTACTTAAAGATAAAGCACAAGATTTTACAGATCATTAGGAAAAACAACCACTTTCCTAATTAAGTGCCCTTCAGAGTCCCTAGGGTCCATCTTTGTTCAGTAAGGCAGGGAATTGCAGGGAATTGCTCCTGCCTCAGTAGCCTCAAAGTTCAAGCAACTGCCCCATAGCTTGGACTGAATGTGACCAAAGAAGACTGAAGCATTAAACGGCTGCCTCTTCTATGATTTCTTGACGCTCCCCCACAACCTCCCCTCAGTGACTCCCCGATAAACCTTTTCTCTGGTGACCAGATCTCTGCCAGGGGACTGTTTTTCTCAGCATGTCCTAGCTTATTTTGCTAGGTGAATGCCTTTTAGTGGTGTATTTCGTAACTCAACACACATCGCCAGCTCTCTTCAACCACTAGCTAGAGTTTCAGCCCAACAGAGAAGTGAAAAGACAGGAGACAAGGCAGAAGGGCTCCATCTCCAAAAGGGCTCCATATCCAGTGAGGTAAAGATAAGTTACAGAGAGTTCCTAATTTCACAGGATTTATAAGAGGTACAAAGTCACCAATTTATCATCCATGTGTCAAATGCAAGTCTGTGTGCACAAACTGCATTTAAATGCATCAGTTTTCAACAGGTAACACTTACTAGAAATTAAATTGATGAAAAGAACTCAGAATCATCTGCTCAGGATGTTGCATCAGGGAGAACAATTAGAGTGACACCTCCATCATCTCTGGGATGTGTGACATCAGCCATGCTTGTGCTCCTTTTGTATTCAAACCTCTGGGACCATGTGAAAATTTCCTAGCTAAAATGTCACAAGAAGCCAAATGCATATATACTCAGGGAAGCTGTGGTTTATATTTGTACATGCAAGTATATGCATGCTTCCAATGACAGACCAGAACCAATGTTACACAGCTTTATATGACTGATCCCAAGCACCACAGCTTGGATATACCAGTGCCCTAGTCATACCACTGTGGGTGTAAAATTGGAGTAGCTGCCTAAATTGTCTAACTGGCAAAGTGTTTGAAGTGAAAACTCTTTTTAAACTAATTGATTGGGTTTAAATAATGAATAAATACAAGGAGGTTGTGATATGAGTGAAGGCCCTGATCTTTCTATAAGAATGGCTAGGTAGAGTCCTTCACCTTTACAGCGGCTCACACTACAGACATAAGTCAACCTACTGGGAATGTTGCCAACTCCTGTGATTTCATTGTACGTCTTGAAATAGTTGTGTGTTTTTTAATGTCATCTCCTGGGATTGAAAAAAAGTCAGTTTTCCTCTAAAATGTTTCTCTGCCTCTTAGAGAGAAAAACTTGACAAGTTTGACTTGAGTACACCCTAAAGACTCAAAGGCAAGAAGATAGATAAAAAAGAAATCCAAATTTATCATTGTTTTTCAAATCTCATGAGTTTAAGCCAATCTCTTCAATTTGGGGATGGTTGACAGTACTGTATTAACAGGTTAAATTGTCTTGTTTGTCTCACTGAATACAATTTCACAATCTCCGGATCAATAAAAAACATGAACAGCAGGAGAGACAATCAAAACAGGCATAAAACAATTTCCTAACACAGCTATTCTGGAAAACACATCTTCTAAAAATATTACAAAGAGATCAGAGAGAAAAATACTGTAAAGAAATAGCACGTTTTCACTCTGTCCCACAAAACCAAAGTGATATAGAGCAGAAGCTGGGATCTTAGGATTTCCAGCCAGGAAAACTAAAAGTACTCATCAGACTTCAACAGCATGGTGCTCTGATGATAAGTTTGCTGAGGTCCAACGAGGAATATTTCCAAGACATGCACATATGCAAAACTGAACTTTTCTAGAAGGACAGTAAACACAAAATATGTAAATGTCTCAAGTCATTCTCAAGGAAACAGACTCCACTTCCTAATCATAGCTCTGCCAAGCATAAGCAAAAAACAAACACAATGTTTCTCACAATTAAAAGCAAGGGATCTGGGAGGCAACTGACAGCCTAGAGGACTAGAATGAGATAGCTCAGTGAAATTTTTGGTTGTATTTTTTCTACTTCCATAAAGGCAGCTGAGCAGATTAAAAACAAAAACATAAGTCACAGCATCATCTGTGCTTCCTGACTGATGGCTTATGTGCCAAGTTTCCTCCTTAAGAGAGATTTTAGATCTCTTGGAAAGTGATATTTATAACAGAGCTGTTGACATAGCCTTAACAAATGTCCTACAAATGGCAAAACTAATACATATCCTGTGTTTACTTGACAAAAAGAGGACTGGGTGTGCCCAGAAGGTCAGATGGAATAAATAATAACTTGGATCGAATAAAAGAAAGCCATTTGCATCCCTTTTGGCTTCATATTTTTAAAATAGTCCTCCTTTGTTAAAAAAAAAAGGACTATATCCTCAGTTGTGTTGAGGTACAGCAGAGGGACAGACATGTGAGACCTAGAACAAATGAAGATGGCTTACTGCCAGCTTTCTACTGCCAAGGACTTGGGGCTAGTGGGGTCAAGTCAGAGTAGCACCACCCTGTACATCTCCTTCCTACTCCTAGAATATCCTCCACAATGGCCATGGCAAGCATGGTTATCCATGCCATGTTTTTGTAAAATCTTCATTGCAATCTCTAGATGTTAATTTATGAACTATAATAATCCTTATTATCACCCTAGTCCAGGGGAATTTGCCTCTTGAGGTCAGCCTTAATGCCCATTTGTGCCATTAAGATTTCTTTACATAATGTGCCACCCTGTGTGGCCCAGACTCAGTAAGGTACTCAGCAAGGACATGCCTAACTGGAAACCTGTGAGTAAATAACATAGATTCATTCATTCCAAGTCAGGCACAAGGCAAAATACTTTGCAAAATCAGAACCTAGGCCTGTAAAGAAGTATGTATTAGGCACAATTCCACTCTCAAGTGACTGGAGTTATTCCAGCAAAGTTAGGTGAGTTCCCAATCAGGACTGTGGCATTGAGAGCAAAGGACAAGCCATGTACCATAATGCTGGGGAGATGCTCTTCACTTGATGGTAGAAGCATCCAAAAGTCAGGCAAGATGTTGAAGGGCACCACTAATATCTCTATGAAATGTCTGAATGAGAGAGTGTCTCATGAAGCACCTTTTAGTGCAAGTGTAAGCCTTCAGGCACCCTCCAAGTGCTCATTCCAGTGTCTCTAATAGATGTGCCACCTTGTGGGAATGTCTTGCAGCTAATTGTGTACCAAATAGCATTTAACCTGCGACTGTGGGTATTCTTGACAGGGAAAGATATGGAACTTGCTATGTTCACCTGCATCTGATCATACATTTTTAAATATCAGAAGCCCACTAGCTATCTGTGCCTCATTTGTAAAGGATATTTGCTTTGCCGAGCTTCATTATGCTCATCAGTTTGCATTCTGAAGCTATGCTTACTTTTAGCCCTAGAGCTTAACACATTCCTGTGGAGAGGTTTATGGTACTACTCTTACTTATTCTCATGGTTTCCCAGGTAGTATCACCTCACTGCTTGCATTCCCATGCCCACACACCCTGTGCCAGTGCGGGGGCCAGAGGTGAAGAGTGCTCAGTGAGCACTCAGGAGATCGGGGGTTTGCTGACCACTGTAGATGGAAGGGAGGGGAGGGGAGGAAGAAGCATGTGAATGAGTGAAAAAGAAGGCTTAGGTTCCTGGGCTACTGCTGCCACTGATGCTGTTACTACCACTGCTGCTGTAGCAGCATCAGCTGCACTGGGAGCTGATCCTGGCAACCCCTTTTGCTTTCCCCTGCCACTTCCATACATACTGAGTGCAGGGCTGTATATGCTGTAGCAAAAGCTCCTCAGAAGTGGGGGAGCAACATTTCACTCACTCCACTTACCCCCCACTACCCAGATGGACTGCTTGGTGCAGTGCTCCCTGCCTGGTTTCTGTGGCTGCGCAGGGCTGCCCTTGCTGTGGTAACTGCTCCCAGGTAGCAATTCTGGTGCCCCACTTGCCTGCTGCAGTTACACTACTGAAGGGGGTTCAAAGGGAGACACATCTGGCCCTGGGAAGAGGGGGAAGATAAAGCTGGTGATCTGTTCAGGTCTCACTTTTGCCCTGAAATGAGGTTTTCACTGGGATCTGAGTGATGCATAAGCCTGCAACAGAATGAATTTAACCCAGGATTGAGTAACTTCTGTTCTGAATACAGTACCATTCTACAAATAGGGCATACAAATTAGCAGCTTTTATCCAGCATCCTAATTGCCCACATCTCTTGTTACTTGCTACCTACGTACAGGTGCATGATGTACTAGCAGATTCACAGCTTGCACTCAGCATCTACTGCAGATCTCACTGCTTTTTTTCTCTCTCTCAAGAATAGGTGTTAAATGAACAGTCAGTGCTGCTGCCTCTTTAAGCACTACACCATACAATCCCTGACCACTTTAATGATTTACAGGCTTGGAATACCTTGTAGCAGGGCATGAGGATGTCCGGACTGGCCGACTGATCGTCAACATGAAAAGTTTTGTCCACCAATGGAAATCAGCTCTCGGAAGAAAAGTCCTGGAGATTTTAAAAAGAAACTGCAGCTAGATGTGCACAAGTACTTAGGGCATTTCTTTATGCACAAAAGGCAAACTTCACAGACAGAAGACCTCTACAACGAAAACTGGAATGTAAGAAAAGGGTGCCAAAATGTGTAAAGTGGTGTTTCAATCCTAGGCTCTCTAAGTTAACCCTTCCTGGTCAATGTTCACTTAGTCCCCTGCATATTATTTAGAAGGATGCTCACATGAGCAAATGTTCAGTGTTACATTAAAAAATATAGGGCCTGATTCTCATCTTGCTTACTTTAGTGCAATTCTAGAGTAACTTCCCTTAAATCAATGGCATCACACTAGCCTAAATTGATAGAAGTGAGAGAAAAAGCATGCCCATAAGCTCAAGAGGATGGACAGAAATGTAAAATCAGAGTTTGGTCCAACAACATTCTGTAGAAGTGAAAGTTAGCTTTGTATCAATGGGATAGCTGTAATGGCTGCATGTTATTTGGAATTTTGCTGTTTGATTAGGTCATGCCTTCAGTGAAAACAATTATGTATAGCATTTATTTAAAGGTTTTCACAGGTCCTAAGCTTTGGGTAATGGGCCAAATTCTTGGTTCAGATACACTGGGGTGAAGTTGTTGCTGGCAATGGACCTGCTCTGTATTTGCACCAGTGTAAAAAAAGTAGCAGAATCCAGCCCTTCATGAACCATGTTGTGTTATGAAAGAGCCAGCTGTAGAAGGTGCAGTGTTTGTGAACTTTTGTCCATGAAGTGTTAAAACTAAATCTATCCAAATGTAAATATTTCATTGTGTTAAAGCACTTTACTGCCTGCCACTTCACAGTGTGAAAAGCCTAGTTTTGTTGGGGAGAAAATGATGCAAAAGTGGCATATGAAATACCTGCTGAAACAGAAGCACTCCTGAAGCCCCCCCTAAATATGGACAACATTAATGGTTTAAAGGGAATGGTCCTCTTTCAGCCTTGGCACTGACCCCCTCCGAGACTCTAAGGATGCAATTTGAAAGTTAATGTATTTGCACTGAAGTGCCAGCTTCAGACCAACATTTGGAATCCATGGGTATTGACTGTGATGAAACTTCACACGCAACGAAAAAAAAAGAGGCTTTGATGCAAGAACACAATTGCCAGAGAAGGAGAATTCTACCTGCAGAAGAAGAGATGGACTGTTTAAGTGAAAAGGACTCTAATTCATATCTCTGAATTGTGTGATTCATGGTGGACCTGGAGTTTATTTTATTTTGATTTTAGTATTTAAAACTATACCTTCATTTTTATTTGCAATATATTTCCAATATATTATATATTTCCACATGAGCACCAGTATGGAATACTGTATATCACCAAGTTATTGCAGTTTTCAGCACTAGATTATGCTTTTTTCTGTAATGTATCTGTAAATTTCATTGCATAAATATATTCTCTTCATCAACACAAGGTAAAAAAAGAGAGGAGGAACTGCAGTGCCGAAAAAAAACCCATAAGTCTGCTTCACGTGAGTATTTTTTTTCATGGTCCTGTGGACTTGCAAAAATGATGCTATTTTGGTAAGTTGTTTTTATATCTCCTGTGTGTAATAAATATAATATGATTTTAACAGTCTCATCTCTTGCTATTGTTTATGCCACTAGGATGATGGTTCTGATGTCCGGAATGCTAGAAGATAAAATGTTTCAGGGTTGTTGGTAGTAGCCATGTTGGTCTAAGGACATGGGCACGCAAGGTTCTTTGGGCAGATGTGGTATCTTTCATTAGACCAATTAAATAGTTGGAAAAAATATTCTTTGCAAGCTTTCAGGCACAAATATCCTTCTGCAGTCTCCCTGTGCCTGAAGACAGGCGTTTGTGCCTGGAAGCTTGCGAATAACATTTTTTCCAGCTATTCAGTTGGTCTAATAAAAGATATCACATCTACCCACAGAACCTTGCCTGCCAGCAGATAAAATGAAACTCAAAAGCTATTATGCAGCACAATTTTAGTCTCTTTAGATGAAATGAACCCCTATACAAGGAGGCAGAAAAAGGCTTTTGCCACGACATCAGTCCTATTTAAATCCTGTTTTAAGGCCTCTTATATGCAGGCTCTCTGTAAAGGAAGTAGATTCCATCCTTAGTGTCTCTAGACTTGGCCAGAATCTGATATCCTTAGAAAACCAAGAGGCTGAGCCACAGAGTAGCTGCACATGAGGAGCAGGCCAGTGATTCCTCACTAGCTTTTTGCTTGAAGCAGAAAAGGGAAAAGACTGCCGGGTAATGATACCTATATCAACAAAACAAATGTGAGGTTGGGTCCTAGAAAAGAGTGGTCAGAAGGAATAGGTGTTCAGCCACAACAACGTATGCTGTTAGATATATGTTTGCCCTATAGTCCATTAATCAGTAACCAAAGAGCACATTATCTCAGTGACACTGATTTCCCCTCTTATAAAAATAAAAAACAGAGAAGGGGGCCAGGCAAGGAGTTTCTTCCAAATTATTCCTTGCTGAGGTTGGGTTGCTTACCCCATGGAATATATGGTTTTGACTTCTGGAGCTCATTTCATTCTGGGAGATCTGTATGAGTCTTTGAGAGAGAGGCAGGAGATCCAGAACACTGAGATTCCACAATTGCTAAGCAGTTCCCTTCACTCTTCTAACTTATTACCTAAGAGAAGCCATTTCTGCTTCACAGGAAATAGCCATATCAGCTGGGTTATGGATTGGTTGGGAAGTGACAGGTGCAGCCTTGCCTATCCACCCACTGCAGGAGGCAGACCAGTTGCCCTAGGCCAGCGTCACACCGGTAGCTAATGTTCAACCTAGCTACAGATAATGTAGTGGTATGGAGACATCTTTCCC